ATTTACTATATTTCCAAAAATCCAATAATCATCTTGACTGAAATATAATTCAGTGATAAATAGCTGTTTTCTCGTCTGTGTTTGTGCAGTATGCCAAGCTGGCGATCTCTCTGAAGGTGCCCGGTGGAGGCGGCGGGAAGAAGAAGAAACCTCCTGTTGCTCCTCAAGGGGACAGCGCTGGCCTGCCACTGGCGGAGGAAGACGACGATTACGAGGGAGGTTTATGTTAATGGAGAGAACACCCGACTACTCCGTGTGTGTGTGTGTGTGTGTGTGTGTGAACGAGCATATCAATGTTTCCTCCCTTTGTGCAGAGAGTCATTCCTGAGGAATTATGTTCCTGTTTGTCCCGCCTGTAGGAGTGTCCCGATTTCATTGCGTTTACACATCAGACACACAGAAAAACTACACACGTGGGCACGATGAAAACCGGGAGGCTTGTGACTGTCCCATTGACTGCCAAGTAAATGACACTGTTAAGGTCCAGAAAAGTATGAAAAGCATCGTCAGAATAGTCCATCTGCCATCAGTGGTTCAACCGTAACGTTATGAAGCGACGAGAATACTTTTTGTACCCGAAGAAGACAAAAATAACGACTTTATTCAACAATTCGTCTCCTCTGTGTCTCTCCGCATCACCATTTTGGAGAATATCCGCTGTCAGCCGCGCTGCACAGATGCGCTGTTTTCGTTCAAATCAAAGCGGAAATACACGTAGAAAACATATCCGTGTGGCGCGGCTGACACAGAATAGCGTACGCTGCTTGCGTTCAGCTCATATTCTCCAAAATGGCACTACAGTGATGCGGAGAGAAACAGAGGAGACGAATTGTTGAATAAAGTCGTTATTTTTGTTTAACTCTTTCTGTTTTCATTTAAAAACATTTTCGCTGAAAGTTTGAGTTTGAATAGCTTGCAAGAGCGCGATTATAAATGCAACTTTTAAAAAAATGACAACTATTACTACCAGTGTTGGGGAAAGTTACTTTTAAAGTTACTCACTCATATTGCGTTACTCCATTAAAAAGTAACTAATTGCGTTAGTTACTTTTTATGGAATGTACAGTAATGCATTACGCTACTTTTGTGTTGCTTTTTGTCACCTGGTCTGGTCTGGGCTTGCTTATTTATTTTTAATAACAAAAACCCCAAAAGTTATATTTTTGGTAACTGTAAAGGCCCTTTCACATCAGAAGTGAAATGAATAAGCCTCTGCACCTCACTCCCAATTTCTCTCAACACGGGACAGGAGAGCTGTCAGTCAATAAATGGGAAAAATAAAGTTACTCAGATATTTGCTTGTAAATTTAAAAGTAATGCATTACTTTACTAGTTACTTGAAAAAAGTAATCTGAATATATGATGTAGAATAAAGTGTGTAAATATCTTGTGTTAAACCACAGACCTTATTTAACAAAAAAACCCATTCAAAAACCCCATTGACTTCAGGGTGATGTAACGATGAAGATGAAGAAGCATACACTCTAAAAATGCTGGGTTAAATACAACCCAGTGCTGGGTAAAATAGGGACAAACCTAGCAATTGGGTTGTTTTGACCCAGCGGTTGGGTTACTACCCAGAAGGTTGGGTTTAAACATTTATTCAAACCACTGGGTCAAAACAGCCCAATTGCTGGGTTTGTCCCTATTTTACCCAGCACTGGGTTGTATTTAACCCAGCATTTTTTAGAGTGCAGAAACGCTAATTTTCACGTTTTGGCCTACAAAAATCCGTCATCCTTTCAGCACACTTTTGACTGCAGTGTTTTCAATCAAGTTTTAAACACTTGTTTTCCATTGGTCAAACAATCAGGTTGTCCCGCCCCAAAACTCACACATTGGTTGAACCTGTAAACTGTAAACACTGGAAGTTTTTGGTGTGTGTGTGAGAGAGATCATATTGTTGCATAAATTGCGTTTAGAAATGTTTTCTTTTAATTTCATAATGAAAACGTGAAGTTGTGTACAGAAACTGTTAATTCTTTTTATTTGTGAACACTGTGTGATGTCAAAGTGATGTTAAATCAGTAATACAATTTGTAAAATACTATAATGTTATTATTATGTACAGTAATTTATTGTGTTGTTGAAATGTAAATGTCGCTGTGGAGTGAGGTGTCATGCTGCGTTTCCAAATATACAACCTGACAGTCATAAAGATGCAAAAATGACTTAATAAAATCAATCTACACTGTTTGGCTGTCTGCTGCTAAATGTGTTTTCTTCTGAACTATCTAGAGAATTATCTGATAAACTCAGTGAAGATGATTTATGAATATTCTACAAATATTCAGCAGCAGCAGCAGCAGCATTCACAACTCATGCTATAGAGAAGCCAGGAAAGAGGGAGTCATTTGAAATAGTTTACTTGAAATAAATGTTAACTTAATAAATAAATAAACAAACAAACTTAAACTGATTATCTCAACTATTTTCCAAGGTAACAGTTCTCATTTTCATTTGGTTTGAGTTGATCTACTAAAATAGATCAAATATAAAGGCAAAAATGTATTAAAAAAAACGATATAGACGTGTAAAAATAATATTAATAATAAATATATTAGTAAAATTATTATTAACAATAATAAAATAAATACATTTAAAAATAAAAAAATTTAAATGAAATGGAAAATATAAAAACAAACACATATATAACATACTTTTATATAAATGTACAGTGTATGAGCTATAAAGTTTTATAGTTATTTTTTTTCTTCTGAAAGAAGCCTCTTGTGCTGCCTCTTAAGACTGCATTTATTTGATTAAAAATACAGTAAAAACAGTAATATTGTGAAATATTTTTATAATTGAAAATAACTGTTTTCTATTGTAATATATTGTAAAATGTAATTTATTTCTGTGATGCGCAGCTGTATTTTCAGCATCATTACTCCAGTCTTCAGTGTCACATGATTCTTCAGAAATCATTCTAATATGCTGATTTGCTGCTCAAGAAACATTTCTGATTATTATCAGTGTTGAAAACAGTTGTGCTGTGTAATATTTTTGTGGAAACCGTGATATATTTTAGTTTTCAGGATTCTTTCATGAACAGAAAGCTCAAAAGAACAGCATTTATTTAAAATAGAAATCTTTTGTAACATTATAAATGTATTCCCTGTCACTTTTGATCAATTTAATGCATCCTTGCTGAATAAAATTGTTAATTTCTTTAAAAAAAATCATACTGACCCCAAACTATTGAATAGTATTGTGCATGTAAACAATGAGAAATACAGGAACAAAAAAGTGAATAAAAGCGGCACTTTTGTCCTTTAAGCGTGTGCTTTATTTGAAGTCAATTAACTCCCATTTCCTGTTTCATCCAGATAGTTTCCTTTTTTCCCCATTTTGATGTTGCTGAAAAAGTTCTGCACACATAATGTAATGAAAGCGTTTCATGTCAAACATTATTTTTCATTCATGCTACATTGTCTTTAATGCATAGTTCAGAGATGGACTCGAAACAATATTCAATGTTCTCTTCAAGCATCAACACAACATGATCTGTCGGCGTGGAGCTCACATTGATAGTCATATCAATCATATACATGATCCCATTGTACATCTACAGCCTAGCGGAGACTCCAGCGGTGCATCCGTGAGACCCTGATCCATAGAAAGCTCCTTCCTGAGTATGGCTGCCAAAGGTGTGCGATAAAAATGGATTTCATGTCCTTTACGGCCTGTCGCATTGCTCAAATAAATATAAGTATGTAGTACAAATGTGAGTCAGATTCTTCCCCATGTACAAACAGCTTTCAGACGAGCACAACTCACAGTCCTGGCGATGCATATTAACAGTAATAACTCTACTGTAACGATCTGCCAATCTCTCATGCCTTCAAGGATGTGTTAATAACTAACATTCATTATTCACTTTCACCACAAGTCAGATGTTTAACTACATAATCATTCATGAAACCTGAGCAGAACTAACCTAAAATGTTCATTCTGTTCGTGTTGCATGAGAATGAAGCCCAATGACCAGAAACATTGGCAAAAACCATTTTACGCTATTGTGGCATTGTGGAAATCTAACAATGCTTCAACAAACAATTGATTTTGCTCATATTTCATGAATTCGGTGTATTTTTGAATGCATTTCTGTGTAAATCATCCATAAAATCATTTGGATTTATGAAGAAACACATTCAAAATTCATTTTTAACACATTTCTGTGTAAATAATCCACATAATCGTGGATTTATGAAGAAATGTGTACAGAAACAAATTCATTCTGAACAAATTTCTGTATAAATAATGAATAAATTCATTTGAATTTATGAAGAAACATTGAAAAATCTGTTCTGAACACATTTCCATTTAAATTATTCATAAAATCATTAGAATTTACAAAGAAATGTAGACAGAAACACATTAAAATTAGTTTTTGAACTAATTTCTTTATGAAGAAACATTCAAAAATCATTCAGAACATTTAATGTATAAATAATTCATAAAATCATTTGGATTTATGAAGAAACATTTCAAATTCATTCTGAACGAATTTCTGTATAAATAATTAATAAATTCATTTGAATTTATGAAGAAACATTCAAAATTCTGTTCTGAACAAATTTCCATTTAAATTATTAATGAAATCATTAGAATATACAAAGAAATGTATACATTCAAAATTAGTTTTTGAACTAATTTCTGTGTAAATAATTAAAATGACTTGGGTTTATTAAGAAACATTCAAAAATCATTCAGAATAATTTGTGTAAATAATTCACAAAATCATTTGGATTTATGAAGAAACATTTAAAATTCATTCTGAACAAATTTTAGTGTAAATTGTTCATAAAATCACTTAAGAAATATACACAGAAATGCATTCAAAATTCGTTCCGAACAAATTTGTGTAAATTACTCATGAAATCATTTGGATTTACAAAGAAATGTGCACAGAAACACATGAATTCTCTCTATTTAACGAATGAGTTGCTGAAACTGATAAATCCTTAATTGTAATGTGAAAACAATCTCCCATTAGTTATGAAAAGTCATTATACTTCAAGCCTTATAAAACACCAAACGTCCTTTTCATGTTCCAAATCTATGTTCACAAATGACAGATGTTTGTTGCGTACGTTCCTCACACTGTGTCGTACATGAGAAAAAAGGTTGCTATCCCGTTGTCGTCAATCCGAATGTATTCCTGAGAAAGGTAGTGGATAATGATGCGTCTAGTTGATTGTACAAATGAAATAAGGCAAATAGAGACGGTCACGTAATTCACAGCGCCACCTACAGGGCTTCGGTTCGGCTTCCTGCAAAACCGGTTTCGCCTTCAGAATTCAGAGAGGCGTTACAAATCAAGCCCAGGTCTAAAGTAGGTTGAGTATTTCTCGTCTTCGTCCATCATGTCGCATGCACTCCCAAAGGTGAAAGTCGTATCAAAGTGGCGCATGCCTGGAAGCCCTAAAGTTCACTTATCAAGCCCTTAAAAAACACTAGCAAGTGCACGCCCACTGGATGAAAACTGCACGAGTGCTAACGTTTCATCAGTTAGCATGAAGAACAATCGGTTCAATCCAACCGTGCGCTTTGGGAAAGAGGTGCAATTCCCGCTTTGTGCTTCTCGTGGTTAGTTTGGAGTTCCTCCGAAGGTTAGCGTCCTCATCCTCACTCACTCACTCACTCTTCTCTCTGGTCCACTTGATCATGGTTTCTGGAGAGCGGTAGAGGAAGATGAGTTTGGCGTACAGGTCTTCCTCCAGGTCCAGTTCTCCCGTCTCTCGGACCAGGAAGATGTTGGTGCAGAGCTTGAGGATCCGGTCCACGTTAGGCAGCTCTTCGAACATGATGGTGTGCGAGATCCCGCTGAAGAATTCACGCACAAACTTCCCGATAACCAGAACCACCGACATGTACAGACCCATGATCCTGTGCACATGCAGGTTCATTTAATTACGGTTTAATCCTGTCAGATTGATCAAATCTATCTTCATTTTGGTTCATATATTTAATTTGGGATGTACAACATTATGACCATTTCTTTAGAAGCTCGTTTACACCATGAAAAAAAAAAAAGTAATTGCAACTTTTTTTCTCACAATTCAGTTTTCTTCTCGCGATTCTGATTTTAAAAAGAAAAAAAAACTCATAATTGCAAGGAGAATGTAATTGCAACATGTCATTATGAGATTCAGAATAGATTTAGAATTGCAAAAAAAAAAAAAAAAAAGTAAAAAAAGTGACTTTTTTTTCATGCAATTCTGAATTTATATCTCACAATTCCGAGAAAAAAAGTCAGAATTGTGAGATAAAAAGTTGCAATTACCTACTTTATTTTTTAGTCCATGACAGAAAATACTTTTTTCTCAGAACTGCAAGAAAAAAAAAAAGTCCAAATTGTGAGATAAAAAATTGCAATTACTTTTTAAAAAATTATTATTCTGTGGTGGAAACAGGCTTCTCTTAAATTATTAGTCAATACTGTTTATATTATCAATGTTTATATTGTCAATATTATCAGTCAATATTGTTTAATATTTGAACTAATGCCTAGTCAAGATTATTTAAAACTTTGTCATAGTTTAGTGCTAATTTATATTGCAAAAATATACAGTACAGTACACCACCGTTCACATGTTAAGGATCGGTAAGATTTTTAAAAAATGTTATGCTCACCAAGGCTGCATTTATTTGATAATAAATACAGTAAAAACAGTAATATTGTGAAATATTATTACAATTTAAAATAACTGTTTTCTATGTGAATTTATTGTAAAATGTGATTTATTCCTGTGATCAAAGCTGAATTTTCAGCATCATTACTCCAGTCTTCATTGTCACATGATCCTTCAGAAATCATTCTGATTTGCTGCTCAAGAAACATTTCTGATTATTATCAATGTTGAAAACAGCTGTGCTGATTCATATTTTTGTGGAAACTGTGATTTCTTTTCAGGAAAAGTTCAAAAGAACAGCATTTATTTGAATCTTTTGCAACATCATAAATGTCTTTACTGACACTTTTGAACAATTTCATGTGTCTTTGCTGAATAAATGCAGTAATTAAGCAATCCCAAACTTTTGAACGGCAGTGTATCATAAAAAGATTTTCTATTTAAATTTTGGTGCATCCCTGTATTGAATTTAACTTTAGCTTTAATTTAAAAAAATGTATTCTTAAACAGTCAACACTCTATATTTCTCTTTAATGTTAGCACTGTGAGTTTTAGTTGTAACCCGCCATGAGAAGCATATCAGTTGTGTGGTTTCTCTATTGAGAAGCCCCGCCCATAGTGAACTCTCATTGGTCAAAAATCCACCTCCTCTTAGCTATATATGAAGCGTCAAATATGTTCTGATTGGACGCACAGTTTTGTCCCTTTAGGAAGGACAGAAAAAACCTTCCGACTATAATGTTTCACGTCACTCACCCATAACCCGCCAGAAAGCCCAGACTGGGTGGACTGACTTGGTCACTGATGATGTAGAGCTCCAGACCAGATTCGTTTGCATTCCTGGCTGAGCCCACAGATAACGGCCCTGCTTCTGTCTGATTCACGATCCACCACTCCTGGACGCCCTCTGTGCTGTCTTTTCTGGATTTATGCAAAGACAGTGTAATGCTCATGTATTCTTTACCTTAGAGAGCACACAGAAGAGTGAAGAGAAACAGGCGTGTTGATGGTGGCTGTAGGAACACATAGGAAATGTAGCAAAGGCATAGATATGCTTGGTGGAGAGCTGGTGTTTTACCATTTTTGTAGAGCTGCCCAATAGGCTTGGCATTGGAGTCGCTTGGTGCTCTGATGTATCTTGGAAAAATGTTTTCGATGACCCTTAATAAAAAACACCATTACAATTGACCATTCAGCCGAATGTCTTTTTAGTGGTAAAAAAGTCAGGAAAAATACGTCTGTGTTTGAAGCTTAAACTCACACTTCTTTGTGCTCAGTTCCATTCAGTAGATTTTTTAGCTTAGTTCTCGTGGTTTTGTCCAAGTCTATATAGTGTTTCCCTATTGCAGTTTCAGCTTTGGCACCTAAACTGAGGTTTCTATTGGACAAATACAGCAAATGAAACCAAACAGAAATGAATTCAATTACTTCATTAATGAAAACCTCAGTCTTTGTCGTTAAAATCTTTTGTCCTGACCAGAACGGCACATAATTCATATCAATGTCATTACATGCAGAACAAATTCTCATGAGATGATACCAGGGTGATGACTGTATGAAACATGTCTGGGTCACAAAAAAGAAATTACTTTTGTAAATTCCTATTACTGTACTGTGACAAAATTATTCATATTTGTTGGATTAAAAGTAATTTATGAAAAATCGAAAAATATTGTCTATAAATGTTATTAACTGTATTCATTTGTATTGTATTTCAAAAATAACCACCGAAAAGTGAAAATTTGCAGTTAATTTACTCATCCTCAGGCCATCCAAGATGTAGGTGACGGTAAAGAAGATTTTTAGTTGAAACCGTGGTCCTTGGTGATTAATATAATGCAAGTCAGCGGCTAGCAGCACTTTTAGAGTCAAAAACAGCACATCAGGGAACACAAAATGAATACCCGTGGCTCTTGACGGCACACTGAGGTCTAATGAAGTGAAACGATTTACATGATTTACACCATTATTACAGGTAATAATGTTGTAAATAATGTTCAGTTTCTTGCACAAACCAATCGGTTTGCTTCATAAGACCTCAGTATCTCGTCAGGAGCCACAGCTATTAATTTTAATTCTCAAAGACGGGCAGGCGCTGACTTGCACTTTATGACTCACCAAAGACCCCAGTTTCAGCTAAAAATCTTCTTTACTACACCTGAGGGTGAGTAAATAACAGCACATTTCCAGTGAACTATCCCTTGAATATGATAAATAATATTTTATCTAGTAAAATATAATAAAATGTTTGGATCTGTCTCAAAGACAGTTTGAAATCTGATCTGATGACAGCATTTTTTGAATTTTTTATTTGACCCATCAGCCACTAGCAGACCAGGTTCTTCTAAGCGCTCTGTCTAAGCCTGCATGCTGCTGTGATGTTGAACTCTACCTCTGTATGGACCAGGTGAAGGTGAGAGGAAACTTCTCGTCTGCGTCACTGAGCATTTGAATGAGGTTCCGCTTGCTCGGGGGGCTGATGGTCCAGAGAGAGTTGGAACTTCCTTCTAGTTCTGCTACTGTCAAATCCTCATGAATATAAGACTCCAGGAACAGCATGGCACTCTGCAGGAGACACAAGCATCTTTAGCTCTATTTAGAAACAATCTGGGATGCACAATTTATCAGTATCAGGCAATATTAGCTTGTTGTCTGATCAGCATTGGTTTGACAATAAAGCACTGCATTTTTTTGACTATATATATATATATATATATATATATATATATATATAATAGGCTATTACAAGTTTCAAAAGTAGTAATAATTCTTAAATAAATCCAAATTATTTTACAGTATGAGAATTGTATGTGAAAATATGCTAAATTGGCAGGCAAATAATGCCACAATATCCACAAGTTTCATTTTATCTATGCAAAATATAATTTCTTATTTTATGCTTTGATTATGCAACGAAATGTGAAAATAGAGCAATATCGGTAATAATAATCAGCTGAAATTCTAAAATCATTTCTATATATCGGTGCATTACTAGAAAACGTTCATGTCAAATACAAAGGAGCCACTGATCTGAACAGACTCTTAGTTCCTTACTGCATCAGTGCTGTATTTTTTTAAAAACTTGGCAAACTCTGTGGAAGAAATGTTTTTCAGATGGTTCTGCTGGGCGCTCATCGTGAAGATCGGCTGAAAACAGAATAAAACAAACACAAGAACAGAAAAAAAGCGGCATGTTAATTATCAAATGGTAAGCAACCTGAGATCTGAAGGCTTCCAAAAATATCAGATCACCTAGACAGCACTGAGATTAAATGGAGAACAAATAGAGACTTCTAAGATGTTTCTCCTGAGAGAAAGACTGAAATAAAAAATTAAAGCTAAATAGAAAATATTGCAAAAACACTGCAAAAAACAATAACTAAAAAAACTTGAGATAACATATAATTACTAAAGTTTAAACCAAAAAAAATAAGAACAAATTATAATAATGAATATAATAAATTAAAATAAATAGAAAAACACTGCAAAAAACACTAACTAATAAAACTGACATAATATAAAATTACTAAAATTTAAACTAAATTAAAAAGAAAACAAAAATAATAAATTCTAATAATAATAAATAATAATACATTATATTAATAAAAATACAATTATAAAATAAAATAAAAAATGACAAAAACATAATAAAATTACTAAAACTAAAAGTAAAATGAAAACAGAAAAAAAAAAAAATCAAAACTTATTCAAAGTATTAATAAGCATTGTAACAGTATACGAATAATACTAAATTAACACCTCAATATGAACTCAAACATTTCTCATCAACTGATCTGAAATGCTTTCCACATTCATTTAATAGCTTTATAATCTTACTGGATGACTCATTTGTGATTATTTTGATTTCTACAAATGTCTTTTAGGAGAAACAGAATTGATAGCAATAAAATGTTCCTTGCAGAACATAAAAACTGGCCGAAAGCAGAAATGACTTTAGCACAGTGTCTTTAATGTGACGTGCACCTGAAGTCCTCCCAGCGTGAGCGTAACGGACACGTCCAGCGGAGTGTTGACCACTCCTGCCACAGATTTGATCAGAGACATGAAGAGCAGTGGGAACCAAATGATGCAGATCAGGAGCATCACGATCATGCCACCCATTCCATACTTCACAACCATCTTCTTCTTCTGCCCGCGCGGCTGAGGGTAACGCTGCCACACGACCACAAACAAATGCTTAGGATGCTGCCTTGAGAAGAAGCTGTCTATGTAGACTGTGTTATTTCTCACTCTTACCTTCTCAGACTCCCTCCAGCATTTGAGGATGAAGATGTGAGCGTAGATGTCCTCCACACAGATCCAGCTAGACAAGCTGAGCGTCGTGTCTGTCCAAATCCAGTCCATCACCGCCCGCAACTCCGTCAGGAACGGGATCAGACGGAACCTGGGACACACAACACACACTAAGCAGGCGGATCCGTTATGTATAGAAACCGACTTGGTTTGCTTTAATTTCCTTTTACTTATAAAAGTAATGGTTGACCAATATATCAGCTGATATCTGGCATTTTTTAATAATCAGCATTGATTATCAACTAAGTTTTTATGTTTGGCTGATGTATCAGAAGTGGGACTTTTACTTTGAGAATAACTGGGATTTTTATTTTTACAATAAATGGGACTTTTATTTTGACAGCGATAAGAATGTCAGCACCTGCGCTCCCACCTATGCGACAGATCTGTGTAATAAATTATTAAAAAATTACCTCCAATTTATACATTTCATATTTTTAAGTTTCTTTATTTGTAAAAAATTTTTTTTCTATAATAGGATTACATTACGTCTATAATAGGATTGAAATTAAGTTCAAATGATTTTTTTTTCAGATAATTTTATAATTATTTATTTCTAATTTAGTATATATATTATGTAAAATAATTATAAAGAAATTGTCATCCATGTGTTTTTACTATCTTTAATTTAAATAATCTGAAATCATATATATCAGCCATTGACCACCCTGCTCTCTAAGATATCGGACATGTATATACATGCAACATCACCCTATAAACTGCTGTTCAACAGGTTTCTCACCCCTGGAAGAGGAAGAGGTTGACGTAGCTGTAGCTCTTGGTGAGGAAGTTTCCCAGGATGCGAGTCGGATATCCACAGCGGATCTGATACGCTGACAGGCCGAAGTAAATACATTTCACAAAGTACCACAGCTGAGCGATAGTGTTCTGACTGAAGCGCCTGCACAGGAGATCAAACACATGTCAGGACATTCAGCCCATTTCTCTGCATCATTTGTTCTCACAGAATGTCTTAATTTTTTTCTTTTTTTTTCAGTTTTACTTTTTCTGGATTCCATTGCTTAAATACATGTTTAGTAAACAAAGAATGTCTAAATTGAAATCATGAAACTTTAAGTTTTAAAACAAAAATTACATTTGTAGGACCCTATGAAATCCATTTTATTTTTTCTCAAATTCTGTTTTCTCAAAAAAATTTTTTCAAATTTTCAGAAATTCTGTTTTCTATACATACATAGACTCTCACTAAAATGGCATTTTGTTGCTGAAAATAAAATTTGTGTTAATAATATGCAAAGTGATGTAAAAATTTAACAAATTTTAATCAATTAAACATATAAAGGATTAACGAACATATAATAAAATATAATGTCAAAACAATCCTGAATGAATGATTTTAATTCAAATTCGGCATCCTGTTTGTCGCCTCAACTGAAACTGAGAAGTGAAATCCCCAGCGTTCTTTTACCTCTCTGTGATTCCTGGTAGGATGAAAAACATCCAGAAATGGATGCCGAACACCAGGACGACCTGGAAAATCACTTTTCCCATCACTGTCTTGAGGAGGTACAGGGCGCGATCCACCACCATCGTGCCGAACTGGATGAGCACCATGACGAGGAACGGCCCGGGAACTTGGTCTTCTGACAGCGAGGATGTGATATCAGCACCACCCTGATGTTTCTGTGAGCCAGACAAAACACACATCAGCACATAGCCATGGAAAGTCCATTTTCAGAGTCAGTTTAGAAGAGAAAAAGCAGATCTGATCTGAATCCTTACTGGCATGCATCATGTGTTTGATTTTTAAGTAAATAATTTCTTTTTTTTATCGTCACTCTTTATAAAACCAAATACTTTTCAAATTTACCCCAAATGCCCAGAAGCCAAAGACAATAATGATAAAATCAACGGTGTCTGCTAGAAACATCAAGACGTAAACGTCCGTCACGGCGTTGTACTCAGGATGAATCAGGTTATAGAAGAACTGACGGATGGGCTGACAGAACTCAACCAATCTGAAGAGAGAAGATAAACAGAGACTGAAGAGACAGACTAATAAAATATATTAAACATAGGATAAAGAATGAAAGAGTGTACATCAATCAGCCCAAACAGTCAGAAATGGCATTCATAAACCTTCTGTAATCTGTTCAGTGAGAGAAAAACGTGCATAGGATGGGACTTGAATTTATCCATAGTTTTTTTCCCAAATTCCACATTTTCCATTTAAAATTTTCTGCATTCCATTTTAATACTTTAATTAAAGGGTTAGTTCACCCAAAAATGAAAATTAGTCCATAAATGACTCACCCTCAAGTCATCCTAGGTGTATATGACTTTCCTCTTTCAGACGAATCCAGTCGGAGTTATATAAAAAATTGCGTTTTTGTAAGAAAAATATCCATATTCAAAACGTAATAATCACTTTAATGTAGCTTGCGCCAACAGTCCTACACGGAAGCAGCTCCGGGCGGATGAACTCATACGTCATCCGCCCGGAACTGCTTCTGTTTACAACAGAGCGCGCAAGCTACATTACAGTGATTATTACGTTTTGAATATGGATATTTTTCTTACAAAAACGCATTGATTCGCTACAGAAGGACTTTGTTCACCCCCCGGAGCCGTGTGAGACGCTTTTTTTATATGGATGGGCGCTTTTTATTTAACTTCTTTTGGACTGAAGCATGCAACACCCGCTGAGTGCCATTAAACAGCTTGAAAGATCAAAGACAATTTGTAATATAACTCCTGCTGGATTCGTCTGAAAGATGAAAGTCATATACACCTAGGATGACTTGAGGGTGAGTCATTTATGGACTAATTTTCATTTTTGGGTGAACTAACCCTTTAAATTTAAATAAGCAAAAGGCATGTCTAATCAATTGAATTCATTCAATTTTAGCAATTTAATAATTTATTAAAATGATAACAATAGTGCCATAAGAAATATTTTTATTTAAAAATCTGTTTTTCTGGATTCTGTGTTTTATGATTTAATGCAAATTGTTCATCAAAGACGATGGTAATAAAACGTATGCATAAAACTTTAACAATTTAACCTTTTAAAATAGAATTCCTGTAATTTGTTTGGAAAACAGTGCTGCACAACAGAGATTTTCTCTTTAAAATTAAAACACGGACCCAAAAATTGTGTGAGAGTCCTTAAAAACAATGTTTAATATACTGCATTATTATTATTATTGTTATTATTAATTTGAAAAGTACATTCTACTGTACAATAGTAAGCCATTCTGGTCATAATTAAATAATAAAAGTTAAATCAAGCTTTTATTTTGACGGGTTGTCTTCTGTGTGTATCTGACGATAGTTTTCTCAAATGAAATATTAAAATGCATATATTGAGACGACAGACGAGTGTCATGCATGCTTCAGTATGTGTAGTAGATACACGCAGAACACGCAAACCTCATATTTTGCAGTTTAATAATCACAGGCACTAATCCCTATTGCGATCTGATTAAGTTGTACAGCCTTACTTGTGATTTTTTTCATCTGAAATTCTAAAATTGTTATGACTGGATTCCATGATTCAGTCCGTGTTTTACACACTGTGGAAATCACAGGGCCCTAAAATTGGGCTCTGATATTATTGGTTAATATTATTTCTCCACCCACACAGCCTTCATTGCATCCACAGAAAGAAAAAAGTTGCCTCAGAGATGGAGAAAGATTAAACTTATTTAATATAAATTCATTCTTTTGATATAATATTATAAATATGATCATTTTTAAACTAAATGTATTTTTTAATATATAAACATGATATAATTTTTTTTAATCTTTCACAATAACATCTCTCTTCCCAAACACACTTACTTTTTGATCACATAAACCTTTGCTTTGATGAGCTGCTCTCGGATCTTCTCCATGATCATTTCTTTGCGGCTCTTCTGCGGAACTTCTGGCTCTCTGGTGCGGTTTTCCCTGCGAATGCTGTTCCGTGTGCTTGTGCTGCCTGTGAAACAAACCAGCAACCAAACGTCACCATAGCAATGCTTAACCACAGACTAACCCGGCAAAATAGCCAAGAAAAAACGGTTAATTTCACTAGTTGTCCACAATGATGATGCTAGATCAAGATGAAGCCAGTACTAGTAAAATCGATGCATGAGTTTATCTATGCATGCGAATCTGAGAAGAAAAGCAAAGGTCTGGGATGTTTGTGTTACGACTCCTCACCGCGTTTGAAGCGCGCAGATGAGCGGCGGGACAGGTGAGATCCACTAGTGCTCTGCCGCGGCAGGTGAGGCCGATGCTCAGGGTAACATATTTGCACGTGCACCTGGGACGAGTCCACGGACATGCCGAGGTTCACAGACTTGAGCGAGCACGCTGGAGAACTCTTCTTCTCTTCCTCGGGTGGAATCGCCACCGCCATCTTCCCCTCGTCCACAGACTCATCCTGACTAAGACACTCATCCTTATGGGACGCTTTAGGGTCGTCTTCATCCCAGAGTCCGTGACACTGAGCCCACGATAGAGAGAGACAGCAGGTGCATTAATGAAGGAGAACAAACTTTAAGGTATTGCTAGATTGTAAAAGGAAAACTGTGATTCATCCAAGACCCATTTATTGCCGGTTTAATAAAAATGGTAAAGTACATAAAAGGCACTTTCTGCAAACAGGATAAAAATTGATGTACCATTACATTAAGCAATAAAATTCGATAAATAAATAAAAAACACACAAAATCAGGGCTTTAAACTAGATACTGCAGGGCTGCAATATAATTGCAAAGCTCTTCTTAAATCTAAAATGCTCATATAATATTTAACAAACAACACTTTCTGAAGGCTTGTTGGATTGCATTTTAAAATTCACACAAATCTTTACAAGCAGTGTTTATTATTTCATAAAATCATACAGAAGTAAAAAACTTTAGCATGACATTGCACTTAGGTAATATCACAAAAACTGTGCAAAATCTGAAACTTAGAAAGGAGAAATATATAAATGTTCTAATTGTAATGTTCTATTTTTTAATATAATATACAAATAATTTAATATAAATAAGAATTATTATTATTATATTTAGGAATATTTTATCTTTAAAAGAGCATTTGTTCAAAGTTATCTAGTTTTTATGTTTTAGTTTGACATTCGTGGGTTATTTCCCATTTCAGAATGTTCAGAGAACATTCAAACCTTCAAATGTAACGTTCCCAAAATTATAAAATAGAATGTTCATTTAAACGTTGTGGCATAACTAAGAAAAAAAAAAGTTTTAAAACATTTAATCAACTGGACGTTTTGAACATTCTGAGAACGTTTCTAAATGATGTTTTCATAACTTTATGGGAACATTAGCAAACCTTTCTTAGATTGTATTTTTGTCAGCTGGGCTAGACACAATAATTTTTTTACAAATTATTTTTATTATGCTTCAAAGTTGCTTTACTGACAAGCTTTATTAGTGCTACTAGATTCGCCACAACAATCATCACTATGATGTGGCAAATGAGAGTATGTACCTTTAGTATGGATCGGTGGAAAAACAGCACCAGCAGCTGAACCAGGTCATAGTGCACGTATCCTTCTTTCTTCTCTGTGCCGATGATGTTGGGCGGATGGTACGGCTTCCCCTTGCTGAATTCCAGGTTCTGGTTGAATGGGAAAAAGCTGAACTGGAAGAAGTATTTGACGACGATGGTGACCTGGAGGAAATAAAAACACATTTATGAATTATTTATACATACATTTAAAGGAATAGTTCACCCAAAATTAAAATCTGCTGAAAATGTCCTCACCCTCAAGCCATCCAAGATCTAAATGAGTTTGTTTCTTCATGGGAACAGATTTGTAGAAATGTAGCATTGCATCTCTTGCTCATCAATGGATCCTCTGCAGTGAATGGGTGCCGTCAGAATTAAGAGTCCAAACTGCTGATAAAAACATCACAATAATCCACACCACTCCAGTCCATCAGTTAATGTCTTGAAAAGCAAAAATTTCTCTCGATTCAGACAAGATGACTCCTTCACTGGAGAAAGCAATATTATAGATAGAGGTAAAATTATCTTAATGATGGATTTGTTTCTTACAAACACGCATCTTTTGGCTTCACAAGACATTAACTGATGGACTGTACTGGTGTGGATTACTTGTGGATTATTGTGATGTTTTTATCAGCCTCATTCTGACGGCACCCATTCACTGCAGAGCATCCATTCATTGGTGATGGAATGCTACATTTCTCCAAATCTGTTCTGATGAAGCAACAAACTCATCTACATCACGGATTGCCTGATGGTGTATAACTTGGCCTGCATAGAATCTGTGCCTACAGAATTCATTTCTACAGCATTTACCAGTTCCGGATTTGTACGAATTTCTTCAATTTCTTAATTTCTTCCAATGAGATTTTGAAGAATGTTGGTAATAGGGCTGCAGTGCAATGAACGCATCAAGCATCAATGAACGCGATATTGCATAGCTTGTCAGTGAACTACGGCTCTTTGTAGTAAATGCCGCTCCTGAGGGTCGCATCTGAACGTACGTGATTGAGATTTACTGCTAATCACTAGGGCTGGGTGATATATTGAATATTAGCGAAAATTTTGACGACAATGTAAAATGTGAAAATATCGTGAATATAGAATATTTCAAATTCAAGCATACTTTCCCAAAAGAATGCGCCGAACCGCGCACGCGCTCGCTCAGAAGCGCCGCTGCTGATGATCTGAAAACACCAACAAACAAGCTGGAGTTTAGCGATCTTAATGAAAGTGTCACTCAACCAGTCTGTGTTCTGTCATGAGATCTCGACTGTTTGCGATTGTGATCGCTGAATAAATGTACTTACTCAACCGCTGTTGTTTGAATAGAGAAACATAGGCTATTGCAATTTGGAATTACTATTAGGAATTTCACTTAAAATATTTTTTATAGACAGTGCTAAATGACTAAATAAATAAATAAAATACATTTACCAAAAACAAACCCTGACCTCTGTGTACACGATGGCCGTCATCCAGAAACGCTTGCTGGGCCGAGGAATGGAGAGCATGGCCCACAGGAAGATGAGGATGGGCAGCACCAGCGTCGCCATGGACGCTGAGATCATGTGGTTGAGGATGATGACCAGGTAACACACCATCTCAGAGTGCGCCACCAGCAGGTTATAAAGAGCATAACACAGCTGGAGCCCGAGCGGCTGCGATTTATAGAAACGCTCAGAGTTCTCCAGCTCCTCATCATAGAACATTCTGGATAACAGCGAGAAAAAAATCACATTAAATGACCGTATGAAGCCAATCACATACCAACAAATCACACTTCTATTGTGCACTAGTTTTGCTGGTGAGGAGAAATTGCATACTTTAGTATTACCAGTGTTGTTATTACTAACTGAAACTAAAACTATTAAAAACATTTTTTTAAATGAAATAAAGCTGAAATAATATTTCATATTATTACAGATATAGAGTTAATGTTATATATAAATTTAAAATTTAAAGTAAAATGAGTAACTGAAATAAAACAATCTAAATCTAAAAATAAATTAATAAAAATAAATATAAATAAATATATAACTTGGCTTGGCAAGTAAATGAAATACATTTAAGTTAAAATACTAATATTACTAACTGAAATAAAAGTCAATCTAAAGCTTAAATAAAAATAAAAAAATTACAAATATTTTGGCATTTTAAAAACAAACAAAAAAATTCAATAGCACATAACAAAACTATTCACTGAGATCAAACTAAAACTTAAATATAAATTAAAACTATTTAGAAATATCTTTAAAAACAACAACTGAAACAAAAGCACATGATAAAATTGCCAACTGTAATAAAACTAAGCCTAAAGCACAAATAAAAATAAATGGCAACTATTTTAAAATATGTGACCCTGGACCACAAAACCAGTCATAAGGGTCAATTTTTCGAAATTGAGATTTATACATCATCTGAAAGCTGAATAAATAAGCTTTCCATTGATGTATGGTTTGTTAGGATAGAACAATATTTGGCCGAGATACAACTATTTGAAAACCTGGAATCTGAGCGTGCAAAAAAAAAAAAAAAAAGCAAAATATTGAGAAAATTGCCTTTAAAGTTGTCCAAATGAAGTTCTTAGCAATGCATATTACTAATCAAAACTTAAGTTTTGATATATTTACGGTAGGAAATTTACAAAATATCTTCATGAAACATGATCTTTACTTAATATCCTAATGATTTTTGGCACAAAAGAAAAATAAATTATTTTGACCCAAACAATGTATTTTTGGCTATTGCTACAAATATACCCCAGCGACTTCAGACTGCTTTTGTGCTCCAGGGTCACATATCTTTAAAAACAAAAACTAATAAAAAATGATAAATGAACATAATAAAATTTCTGAGATAAAACTAAAACTAAAACTAAAGCGTAAATAAAAATGAATTACAAGTATTTAGAAATATATAAAAAAACTAATACAAATGAAAAAAGCATAAATAAAACATAAATAAAACTAAAACTAAAGATTTTACAAACAAAAAAATAATACAAATGACCAAAACACATAAAAAAATTATTAAAAATGAAACTAAAAAGAAAACTGAAAATCTAAAAATAAAAAGCAAATTCAAAAAATGAATAAAGACTATAATAGTATATAAATAATAGTAAAACAACGGTATGTAGTAAGATATTATGTCAGTATTGGGACCCTTCTGAAGAATCTGTAATGTAATCAAGACTAACTCACTTGTTGAGCAGCAGTTCACTGGCGGTCATGGAGGGCAGCAGAGGGTCGTCCAGATCGGATCTGCTGTCGGGCGTCATCAGCATCAGCCGTTTGTCACTGTCACTGTCGTCCGGGCTCACAGACAGACGGTCGAAGCTCACGGCTTTGCTGTAGCTGGGCGGCACATCAGCGTCTGAGGTATTGGGGGCGTCTGTGTCCGGGGTGAAAAGCTGCCCGCTGATCACGTCCGTTTGCATGTTCTCCGGTCCCGATGATTCACCATCGTCCCGTCGGATTGGCTGTTCACCATCCTCATCTTCAGAAATACACTGCTCTTCCTCTCCATGCTCCTCACAATCCAGCTGAAGAACCTGAACATCTTCAACTGCTTCCTCTGGATCCACCAAATCCCATTGGAGTTCCTCTTCCACTTCTCCTGTCACTTCCTCTGCCGGCTCATCTGTCACTTCCTGTATCGCTTCCTCTGCCAGCTCATCTGTCACTTCTTGTGTCACTTCCCCTGCCAGCTCATTCATCGCTTCCCGTTTCACGTCTTCCTCTTTCACTTCCTCATGATCTACTCCTTCAGGTTTGTCCTCAACAGTCTCTGCAGTTTCCTTCTTTTTTGCCTCCACCCGTTCTCTCTCGTCCTCGACCTCGTCTAGAGTGTCGTTGGTTCCTTGCCGAGAGAAAAGTGTAACGGACTGAGTAACTTCACTGGAAACAAAACCACAAAAACAACACAAACAGGAAACTGTTGATGTACTATTATAATAATTTTACAAATATTATTGTTATTATATTATAACGATATTACAATCACTGTAAACATATCAATGTATGTAAAACATAACATACATATATAAGAGTAACATCTTAAGACATTTTGACTTTAAATATTGGCTTTGAATAACAATGATATATATTTGTATTTGTATATTTACTACTGAAATATCATCATTTTTCAGGATTTTATTAATTTCTAGAGGATGATTGATGTCGGATACATCCAAAATGTCCAATATGTAGAACCAATAATTTTAGTTATGCTACAATAATAAAAACATATGCATTATATATGCTTTATTATTAAAATAATACATGTATTATTTTATATTAATAATAACACTATTATTATTACTATTGCTGTTGTTGTTACTATTAATTATGTTAGATGTTTTCTTTAGAGTTCCACTAGATGACATTTATAATACTAATAATGATATTAATAATATCAATATTAAATTGCATTAATTTTAATAATAATTGTCATTAGTTTCTGCATGAGCTCTCAACCAATGATTCACCGGAGTTCCACAAGGACCGCCTCCCTCATTTCCATGTCGCACTCGGAAAAGTAAAAAGAAATAAATGAATAAATAAATCTGGAAATAAATAAATGTGGGAATAAATAAATATAATAAAATAAGCGCATGAATAAATACATTTAAAAATAAATAAATAAATAAACACATGAATAAAACAAATTAAATAAATATAAATAAGTAAATAAAAGTTAAAAAGAATAAAAATAAATGTATACATAAATAAATACAGAAAATAATACATAAAGAAAAAAGTAATAAAAATTAATTCAGGATTTTAATTACATTTTATTACAAATATTTGTTTTTATCAAGTAATTTCTTTCTTTCTTTATTTTCCATTATTACATTTATTTATTTATCTATCTATATATTTATTTATTTTAAATTTCTGCAGGTTTGGTCCTTCATATGATGGGAGTGTAAAGGGTGAGGATGAATGTGATGAAGATTTGATGATTATGAGTTCAGCACCTGGACATGACGCTGCTTCCACTGTCCGCAGAGGAGTTGGACATGTTCAAACCGTACATTTTGCGCAGTTTGGGACGAGCGCGTTCGCTGGTTTTGGGGATATTCTGAGGCATGTCGTCCAAGTCGTCCAAAGTGGACTGACAGGAAAACAGCATGGTGGCTTCGGTGTATGCACTGACGGATGGACAGATGGACAGATGACATGAGCGGGAGCATAATGCAATGAAAAAGATAACAAGAAAATTTTTGTAAAAATATAATGAAGTCTCCTGGTTCTCAGATGTTGCTCCTGAGAAAAAAACTTGAACTGTCATGAATGTCATGAAAATGATGTCAGAACGCAAAAAATCTTTTTTTTTTTTCTAATAATTATTTTATTTTGATTCTTTTGAAATTTAGAAATATAATTTCTACATTTCTTGAGACTTTTTGTCAGATTCACCCTATAATAATATAAGTCAAAGATGAAGACCTGGACATGCTGTCTCTGGAAGCGAAGGAATCCAGACTGTGGCCGGCCCGTCTGCAGCGCTCTCTGTTTGAGCAGGAGTCCTCCTCACTGATCCGGTCCAGTCCAGATTCACGAGATCCGTTCAGTTTCATCTGCTTCTGGTAGTACACATGGATGCTCTCACGGGACGGCACGTTTCCCTGCAGGACAAACAAGGATCAGGATCAGTTCTAGACCAACATAGATCATCATAAACTTGTTCCACTTTGTGTTAATTAAACTTAAAAGTTGAATTAATTACTTTATTTGACTTAATTATATATAGAACCTTTTTGACTTCTCTGGTCAGCATGCAGCGCTCGATGCGCAGAACGGTGGAGATGTCGATGTATTCTCTGCAGACGGAATTCAGCCACTTGGTGATGCTCTCAACGGTGGTCAGAAACAGCACCCAGGTGAACTTGATGATGTTGAAGACCCTCTTGATAATATTGTCTACAGTAAGTGGAAAGGTTAGTTTGGTTTGTCTGAAGTTGATATGAACAGGAAATGAATGCGCTCCATGAACACACCTGGTCCGTCCGTTTTGTCTTCCTCTGAACTCTGACGGTCTTCTTCACCGATCTCTATCGTCACATGACCTACACACAGGAAGTTGCTTATCCATTAGACCAACAATTATAGAAACAGTTCTTCAATTCAATTTTCTATCGAAGCCTGTTTAGGCTTTTTATATCACAATTCTGACTTGCAATTGCGAGTTTATATCTGGCAAAAAATTTGCCAGATATAAATTCAGTATTCAGACATTTTTCTCACAATTCCAAGATTACATCTCACAATTCTGACTTCTTTTTTCAGAATTCTAAATTTCTATCTCACAATTGTTTTTTTTCCTGCCATTTTTTTACACACAATTCTGCTTTTATATCTTGCAATTCTGAGAAATTCTTAGATATAAACTCAGATACAAAGTCTGATACAAAGTCGCAGTTATCTTTTTTTATTATTGGTGACAGAAACAAGCTTTCATAATTTTCAGATGTTAAAGGGGTCATATGATGCGATTTCAATTTTTCCTTTCTCTTTGGAGTGTTACAAGCTCTTGGTGCATAAAGAAGATCTGTAAAGTTGCAAAGACTAAAGTCTCAAATCCAAAGAGATATTCTTTATAAAAGTTAAGAGTCAGCCACGCCTACCTAAAATGGTTCGTTCTAACACGCCCCCACATATCTACCTCACTATGTGGGAAGATTTGCATAACGCCGCCCAAATGTTCACGCAAAGAAAGAAGGCATAACTTTTATTCTCGCTGTCGCTGAGGAAATACATCAACTTCGCGCTGTGGATCGCCGGATCGGCTTTCACTGTGGACGAAGCAGAGTCCGGCCCGGGGTCGTCAAATGTGGTTGCCACAAGCCGGCCGGCCGCTCCTTCGCCGAATCCGCCAGCCGCGCCGTTCTCAAGCCCGCCGGCTGCCGCTCACTCTAGCCCGCCGGCCGTTCCTCACTCTAGCCCCTCCGGCCTCTGCTCACACAAGCCCGCCGTGTGTGACGCTGTGTGTTTCGTTGTGAAAGCGAAACTACTTTGTTTGGTCTTCCAAAAGAGGA